CTAAATCATCACTTATATCATCACTTAAGCCGTTTATTAGGGAAGAGTTGTTCTCCACTCTACAGCCTCTTTCCGACAAATGCAATATTGCAAACTGTTTTATCGCTATTTACATAGCAAATATTCAGATACGCTTCATTCTTTAGTCATCCAATTCAGGACATTTACAGCTAGGAAAAGGCCGTTTGCGTCCACGAAGTCGAATTCAATCTCATTTCTTTCGCATAAGGAGGACGTTTCCCTTTTCCTGAAGGCCTGCTACTTTGTGGAACAGACTTTAGCGTAGTCTCTTCTTTGAACGTTATAATCTTAAACGCTTCAAGTCAAGAGTTTGTCGTTATCAGTTCTCCTCATCCTTATATATGTTCATTTCCAATGCCAACTCTTTCGTCTATATACCACATTCCTAGTTTGAGTGGCTGTCGAGCCTTTTATTGGATGAATATCAGTATTAAAAAGTCAAAAGATTATAAGAGGTTATATGAAAAGAATTCAAAGGTTTGCTGAAAGAGACAGAATCGATTTAGATTTACCCAAATAGCCATTTTTGAATTTTTTCTTTGTTCTGGCCCAGTTTGAATATGTTTAAGATCGTCTTTTTATTAATATCCTAAGTCCTTTTTTACTGTCTCTGTGTAATTTTCTTTTAAATCATTTAAAAAAGAAATTAAAACCTAGCGTCCGCACATCTTTAGTGTTTCCCGCATTGCATAACTGTGACTGACGTTTACATTTATTTTCTTTCTCCGTCTTCCTATATATATATATATATATATATATATATATATATATGTGTGTGTGTGTGTGTGTGTGTGTAATTCAATCAATAGGTCGTATTACTTTATTCCGAGGGAATAGGGCAAAACCCGATACATTGTTGTTTTTTCCATTTCCATTCAATTAACCATCATTGTTCTGATATATAGAAATTTATATATCATATTCTTCCATATACAAATGTTTGGGGGCCACCATTTGGATAACGAATACTCACCTAAAAAGTAATGGTTGCATACGTCTTTATAAAATAATTTGCTAGTTCACTTCTGACTAGAAGGACATTCACTCCCCGAAGGGTTTTATCACATATTCTATAATAATAATAATAATAATAATAATAATAATAATAATAATAATAATAATAACGAACTTAACCCATTGCCTCATAAACTTTCTTGAAACGTTTAAGCCTAGTCTACTTTTCTGCATTAAATCTTAATAGTAGTTAATTTACCATAAGGAGAGTGTCTCGTATTTATGTTGTTTTATGATTGCGTATAATTTTATAGTAGTCAGCAAGTCAGCAGAGGGGATAGATCTATTATAGCGTCTACTAACGTTTCGTTTACAAAACTTGGTTCGTATGTTTCAAGTGTGCATAATTTATTTTAAAATCGCTAATCCTTGTAAGAAGATACTCAGATGAAATATGTGAAATGTTGAGTAACAAATTACATCAAAGATTTGAAAATTCAGCTTGTTCACAACAATCAACAGCCGACCCTGCCAAGTTCTTACGGAATAGCTGCCATCTTAAAATTAAATTAACGGTCCAATTCGAAATGTCGCTGTTTGTTCATATATTAACACCTGGCATCCACTGAAATTTAATTATTATTAATATTTTTTCTAAGCATATATGATATATGAAGCATATGTAAATGTGAAACTCAAAAAGAAAATATTTTAATAGTATACATATAAGTGTTTTCTTGTGAAAACTTGCATAATAAATTCTGACATAAATTACACACACACACACACACACACACACACACACATATATATATATATGTATATATTCAAACATGTTTCATCGAATAATATAGACATATTGCGTCCACTTTTGCACTGATCCTTTCTCAGATACTTGATGTTAAAATGAAATTCATCAAAGAAGGTGCCGTAATTTTTTGTAACCCTTTGTAACCCAAGTACTTTCGATCTTTTCCAAGATCATCTTCAGTGGTAAATTACAAAGACAAACTTACTGAAACTGCGATAAAATCTGCATTCCGCTATGATGGTGATATTTAAAATCATGTGTGAACGGGCTCGGTAATTATTTTCAAATTTTAAAGTTATCCGTTGTAGCTATGGAATATTTTGCAAAACAAACGTTTCACTATAAGGAAGCTGACCGTATATAGGAAGAAATGCAAAATGGAATTACATGCTTGTTATATGCACTTCAATACATTGTTGCTGCACTCGTAATGAATTTTGTTGAGTGTTGTTTGGTTGATTATTATATAGAGGGCCTCTAGTATTTGAAGATTTTGTTTATTTTTTCCGTGGTGTAGTATATTGGTGTTGTCTACAACTATTTTCCTGTATTGTGAAGATGGACAAGAATATGGAATAGAGTTGAATTTATCCCTGAAGATGATCTTGGAAAAGATCGAAAGTACTTAGGTTAGAAGAAACTACGTTGCCTTCCTTGAAGAATTAACATCAAGAACCGGATTAGAGAACTGGAAATGATCAGTATAAAAATAGACACAATATGTATATATTATTTAATGAAGCATGTTTGAATAAAGATATGCTGCCTATCTCTCTCTCTCTCTCTCTCTCTATATATATATATATATATATATATTCGACTGGAATTCGAACTCGGCTCTCCGATTCCTCAATTCAAGCCGCTATCCATTACTCCACCAGCTATGGGTACATAGCAGGACAGACTGGGTTCTATAGCCTTGGATGGCAACTGGTCTAGGAGAAGGACAAATCTGAATTCAAAACTTGCGGAGGGTCGTTTGGAGACCTTGTGGCACGTAGTGCACCAGGTCTCTGTATTCGGCCCTTCAAAAAGTCTGGATGGTCCTGCACGAAACCTTCACCACTATAATCAAATCTCATGTGCTGTTGTCGGGCTGTCGGTTTCCTAGAAATTGATATGCTTGACTCTCATACGTCGAATTCGACGGGAGAGAGTCGAGTATATATATATGTATAGGAATGGTTAGGATATAAAATGTACATACACGTACAAATACTTGCATGTACGTAAGTATAATTATTCCTCTTATAAATACAGTGCTCAATGTTATGAAACAGAGCTATAAGTATATATTATTGAATATACATAATATCCAATGCCGATAAAGCTACTCGAAGTTTCGTGAAGTTGATGCACACTTCAGGTATGAATTTTGACCGTTATCCCATCCTGGATATGATGATAAACTACGTCCTCGTCCTGGCTAAGACGATAAATTACATCCAACAAGAAGGCCTTTGATTAGGAGGTTTTGAGGAGTGTGGAACTACCTCCTAAATGCTGTTGTTCCCAGGTCCACCCAGACCCAGGGTGGTAGCACCTGTTAGGGTCACAGCTATGGGCAAATACTTAACCCCCAAACTGGGGTCAAAACTCTATGAAAGTGTAAAAATAGGTTTTAATACCAGCAATACGTTTTTGTAAAAATTACCAGCAATAAATTTTCAATAAAAATTTATTACCAGCAATACGTTACAAGAAATACATTATATAAAAAATTACCAGCAATAAAAAATCTTATCGGCATTAAATAACCTATTGAGGATGATATACCGTAAAACAAACCAAACCGAGCCAATCTGACTGTTATCTGTCGCGATATCGTGCTGCTGATATTAATATAATACGAAACAACTTTTAATATTCTCAGAACTTGTATCTATAGCTTTTCTTACATACTTATACACACATACAATGCAATATTTCAGTACTCGATTAATTTATAATTTATAACGTATGTGTATATATAATTTCACCGTTAAAAGTACGTTAGACATATATTTCCGACCTGTTATTTATTTACTTATTTTTTCACGTTGAGATTATATTTTTAATCTGCGTTATAGTTTACGTTAATATACATAACTAGTTTCTTTACGCTGAAAAACGAGAGATACCTCCCTTAATAAATTGTTTCGAATCCAAATTAAAGTTTCAAATAATTTCTTTTTTCAATTTCTTTTTTTTTTAATTATTTTTAATTCTGCAACATTCGTACTCAAGAATTTAAAATATATAAATTATTAATAGTTAATTCTATATTTTAAATAGACAAGTTTGTAAACCTAATTTTGAATCACCGTCACGAGAGAACTCGACAGATAACGATCAGAATTCACGTCTGAAGATTGCATTAACTGCGTGAAACTCCGAATAGTGTTATCGATGGTGGATATAATATATATTCACTAATATATATATATATATATATATATATATAAGGTTGAGTACTATGTAATTTCTGCTTTTAGGCAGGCATCATCCGAAATAATATGTCGCAGTTAAGAATATTTTTGGTGTACGCAAATATTTCTTAAATTTTTGTACGGCACTGGCAGCGTACACAGTGGATTAAAGGAAAAATGTTGTTACCCATGGCAATGCAAGGCCACATACGGCAAGAGTCACACGGGAAAAAAAAACAAACAACTTTGGAACTGGGTTTGTCTGTTCTACCCCATCCGCCATATTGCCCTGACTTGGCACCAACTTATTATTACCTTTCTTGGTTGTTCCAAAACGATTTCATGGGGGAAAAATGTTCTCTAATGGAAATCCGACTCAAGCTTTCGTCGAAAACTTTTTCACATCAAATTCCTTGGAATTTTACTCAAAAGGGTTCGAAGAATTGATTGATAGATTCCAATAAGTCACTACAAATAACAGTGAATATATAATCAAATAAAATGTAATTGTAATTGATTAGTTGTTGAATACGTCTGTTAAGTAATAGCGGACATTATTTATGGCTCAAACTAATACATATGTGCACACATACACACGTACATATATATATATATATATATATATATATATATATATATATATATATATATATATATATATATATATATATATAGAGAGAGAGAGAGAGAGAGAGAGAAGAAGAAGAGAGTATGAGAGATAGAGATATAGATAGATAGATAGATAGATAGATAGATAGATAGATAGATAGATAGATAGATAGGTCGGAGGAGAGAGTGAAAAATAGTTAGAGATACAAAGGGAGTGATATATATATATATATATATATATATATATATATAGATAGAGAGAGAGAGATAGTGAAAGAGAGTGAAATAAATAGAGAGAAAGTGAGAGAGATAGATAGAGATAAAGGGTGATAGATAGATAGATAGATAGATAGATAGATAGATAGATAGATAGATAGATAGAAAGAGAGTGATAGATAGGTAGATAGAGAGAGGGTGAGAGATAGATACATAGAGAAGGAGTGATAGATAAAGGGAGTGAAACAAATACAGAAAAAGAGAGAGTGAGAGATAGATAGATCGGTAGATAGATAGAGAGACAGAGGGTGATAGATAGATAGATAGATAGATAGATAGATAGAGAGATAGAGAGCGAGAGAGAGAGAGAGAGAGAGAGAGAGAGAGAAAGAGTGCGAGAGATAAACAAGTGTAGCCTAAGATGTTGTCGGTACGTCGCGTGAGAAAAAGGAATTTAAAAAAAAAAATAAATAAAAAAAAACAAGAAAGAAAGCAAAAAAGTGAAGAAAAAGTGTCAAGTAAAACAGTGAAAAGCTGTTGACGATACAAAGGGGCACAGCCGATGATGAGGGGGGAGATGAGAATCAACAAGGGATAGGCAAGTCGTCTCAAGAGTGCAACAAAGACAACACGCTCAGCGATGGGTGATCACGCCACCCGTTTCATCGCGTCATTCGGGAGGTGTTACCAGAAACACGCTCACGCACTCACACACGCTGATATGAATTTATATCCACAAACATTCCGATTCATACATGTACATGTAATTTACGAACAAAATAACGTATGGTGAGAAGCAAATGGTCGGAGAATTTTTTGCGAATATGTAAAAAGCTCTTCCGTCGAGATTACGATTTTCGTGATGAAAACTTAAGTAGTATCGCCTGCTATTAATATAGATAAAATAAAATAAAAATATACCTAGATCTAGTAGTATTGTGCTTGTAAAATCAACGATTCCCAACAATTTCTGAATGTACAGTCACAGTAATTAAACAGTAGCAACATTCGGCGTTTTCATCAAGCAATATATGGCGGTTTTCTAAGCGCTGCTTAGATGTGTCACGAAGCCGAAAGTATATGGCACACAGTGAGGGTCGAACTTACTGTTCAGTCGAAATTGATCTAGCAAGGAAGGCTTGCTAACAATTACATCACGTCGGAGTGTCCAGAAGTTCAATTTATGCGTGTATAACGTAGCTGGTATTGGCTTGGAAACTGTAATCGGGCGTGCAGAGTTCGAAATCCTGGCCCATCTTATTGCTTTCATTTTTCGAAAAATAACCTTTGAAAATGTATGAATCCATCTCATCTTCCCATATATATTAGCTTAATAGCAGGGTTGATTTTGCCCTCTAGTATTGGTTAGCATTAGCAATATAGAATAACTCTTCTTTCGGTACCAGTTAGGCGGTCTGCTCAATGTGCATACCGTGCAATCATGTTAAAGCGATCATGGATTTTATAGCAGATTACGCTGTAGTGTTCAGAGACTCTAGGATTTCGATTGCGATCGAAAAACATTTTTTAACTAAATGATCTGGAGGGTTTTGGAACAGCTGAAATAGGTTTCTACAGAAAGATGCTGAGAATAACATGAACTGAAGATGTGACGAAGTTTTAAAAATGAAATCAGAAAGGATATTTAATATCAAAAAGAGATGAGATTTCTAAGATATATCATAAAGAAAGAGAGCTTCAGAAATTTGACATTCAAAAATGTATGGTTGGTATTTTTACTATAAAAATCTGCATTTATACTTTCATAGTGTTTTGACTCTAGTTTTGGGGGTTAACTGTTTGCCATTAACTGGGACCCTAACAGGTGCTACCACCCCGGGTCAGAGGTGGTTCCACTATCCACATAGCCTCCCGATGAGAGGCCTTGCCGCTGTATGTAGTTTATCGTCATACCCAGAACAGACTGGGTTTGTAGCCCAAGCGGATGATTGATTCGTTTTCTACGCCTTATGAACCTTTTGCATGTTATTTAAAATCAGAAAAGAATCAGTAAGAATTTTTGATAGGGAAGTGGGGGAGATAATACAGATTTAATGATACAAATCTTACAAATTAATCCATATCTTGTGGGAGAAAGTTGGATTCATACCTTTCCTAAGGATATTTGCGCGTAAATGAATATAATGGAACACTGGCTCTCCGATTAACAATTCTAAGCCATTATCCATTATACCACGCGCACATCCAAGCTTACAGCACCTGGAAATTTCCAAACGGTCACCGATATAGGTACTAACTAAACTCGACATTACTTAACTTTAGTGACCGTACGGGAACATTTCAACGCTATATGGCTGTAAGCCTGTAGCCCAGCATCAAACGCGAACTATACAACTACTGAAAAGATAAATCTTTCCAATACAAAAAACTATGATCTGGAATTCGAATGAAAGCAGTAATGGCATATATTGTGAATTCATTATAGAAAATCATGATGTGGAATTAATAAACACGAAACTCTTCAAATACGTCGGTCTGTGGATGAGTTACAAGAACTTTAGTATGGAAGAAAAAGAAATAGAACATAGGAATTAGTTTCGTTTCGATTAGTTTTCCCCAATACAACAAGTTGCTACAAAACCAAAACATTGACCTAAAAACTCGAACCACATTCCTAAATAGCCTCGTCAGATCTATAGGCTCATATGGATGTTATACATGGCTCCTAAATTGTTCATAACTGTCTAAACAGTCAGTTGTATGTAACTGCTTTCTCAGATCAGTGATTAAAATAAAAGATGCTTGTAGTTCTTAGAGAGGATCAAACTTCTTTAAACTTCATTGGCGCTACGGAAATGCAAAGAACAGTACCGAACAGCAGAAACCGCACCCTTTGAAAACTTTCAACAACGGCAAAAATTAAAATGGAGAGCACATGTACCTTTTAGGGAATATATTAACACATTGAAGATATTGAAGTTTCATACCACTTCAAATAAAAAGTTAGAAAACACCGTTCAATGCCGGAAAGAGCGATAACAGTGAAACCTATTTTCCTGAAAGTTTTTTTTTTTAATATAGAATGATATATTGCAACCGTGGCTGTTCGGTCAATGAATGTCGAATGTTGTCTTATAAAGAAACGGCAAATATTACCATCGAGTTCACTATTAACTGCGACGTGAGGTTTTAGACTATCATCTCGAATGGGATCCAATAAAACAAGCATAGATAAAACATTAATTTGATGCCTGCAATCAACTAGTGTCATATTATCCAATACTAACATCTGCATTGCAGGATTATTCGCGACTAAACCGGTTTCTTCACAAGGCCTTTTCGGTGAGGACGTGCCTAGACACACATCAGTGTTAAAACATGACCTATCAAATGGCGGATGGACTTCTTATAGGGTTAACGGCCATCTGGCACAATGGGGCAGACTAGGCTCTTTTATAGAATCACTGACCACAACGGTCATGCGACTAATGATGCTACTGCTGCTGATGATGATTGCAATGATTTTTGACAGTATGGGTAAAATAATTAAAATAAATATGCAACGGTGCAACGGCCTACCCGCTTAAACCGTGGGCTGGTGATATTTAATGATTAAACCAACAAAGATATTGTGACCAGCAGGTCCGAATGGACACCTGAGAGTGTGGTCAGTTAAAATGGTCAACATGAAGAATATTTATCATACGGAATTTAGAAACAATTTTAATCTCATCTCAACATATTACCATGAAGCTATCTTACGAGAGGGACTGATTTTCTAATTTACGACTTATCAACCCATTGAAATTTTTTTGTGAGCGAATACTGCTTTAAAATATTTTGAGATTAGAAATGAGTTTTCTGGTTACAAGTCTTACTATTTAACCCATAACTGGGGGACATCAATTCATAATTTTCCAAAGGGTATTTAGGCATTAGTGAATAAAATGAACTCAACAGGAATTCTAACTCGACAGAAATCCGAAATCGATTCTCCATTTACGCACACCGTAACACATATCCATTATATTTGGAAAAAAATCACCCTAGGTCAGGCATGGATCTGTGAAACCTATACGTTTATACTTTTTTTATGCTTTGCTTCTTCAGGGCGTAGGCGGTCATTTTTAAGTTCCTTAATTATCTGTGAATTATTATGCTTTCTTTTTGAAATTATAGATTGAGTTATAAGTTTTGGGGAGTCATTAATTGAAAGCAATCCACTTCAATGTTCACTGGAATTAGCAAACATGCTAAACACATACAAATCTACCTTAAGCCAAATTTTACAAAGGATAGAGAAAATCAGCAAGCTGTCTGTTTTGTTTTCATACGCGAATAGAACAAAGCGAGACGTTTATTCATAGAGAACCTTTACTTCAAGTATATCATCACAGGTGATGAAAAATGGGTTCCGCATGCTCTTAGTTAAAAACAAAGCAGAGGAGATCATTTTTAGACAAAAAGTGAAATTATTTATCATTCAACCCAGTTTGGTTCCCCGTTAATTTCTCTACGATTTGAAATTCAGCGTTTTCCATCTCTTATACTGATTGCCACGCAATAATATATTGTGCAGTCTACCACACAGGACTAAAAATTCCAGTTAAACCCATAGCTGGGGGAATGAACAGATATTATCTGTGAATTATCATGCCTTCTTTTTGAAATTATAGATTGAGTTATAAGTAGTTTTTGTTTTGGGGAATCATTTGTAATAAAGAATGTATCTTCCTAACGTTGAATTTTACGTGGCAACTAATAGTAAATTTGTTCTATATTAACTGATGTTAATTTTTGAATGGTAGTAGCAGTATACACAGCGAATTAAAGAATAAATTTATTGACCCACGAATGGAAGTAATGAAACTGAAATTACGTCACATAATGTTATGGGAATTGCAACAATGGAATAATTCTATGGAGACATCTAGAAAAAAAATGCAATATTTATAGTCAAAGAATCATAACTGACAAATATGTTTGAAATTGGTTTGCAAAGTTCCGTTCTAGAGAAAACGTAGATGAACCCAGGCAAGGGTATTCATTGGACTTTGATGATAGACCTCTAAAGTCTTTAGGGGGAAGTACTCGGGAATAATCAAAGGTATTAAACCCGTTACCTCCCCACAATGCGGGATGTGAAACAAGGCAGGTTTTTTTTACGTGGGGCATTCCGGGTGCATAGGCTTGGGCAATTTCCTGTAGACCCCGTAATAACGGGGTTGGGTAGCTGTCTACCTCCCCAGACGAGACTCTGCCATTTCGCATAGCCTTGTCTGGGTTCCTCTCTACCCGAAGGCAGAGAGTTTGACAAGATGAGTACTGTTTGACTCAGAGGTTCGGCAAAAGTATTAAACTCATCACAATCTATCATATACCAAAACTTAGAAAAGAGAGGGAAAGTCAGCAAACCGCGGTTTTGAGTTCTGCATGCCCCTAAACAAAACAAAACAAAACAAAAAAAATACAGAGCAGATCATTGATAAACAAGAAGCGAAATGATTTATGATTGAAACCAATTGTATCTTGATGAAGTCAAAGTACTCGGAAATTAGGTTTCTTAAGCGAATAGAACCAAGCGAGTCGTTTTTTTATAGAGACGTGTCTCTTTTCACAACAGAGAAATAACCTATCCTTTAAGCACATTATCACAGGTGATGAAAAATAGGTTCCGCATGTTCTTAGCGAAAACAAACCAAAGATGAACATTTATAGACAAAAACCGGCATTCTTTATGATTGAACCAATTTTGGTTTGGTTTAGTTTGTTTTGTTCCACGGTATATCAACCTCAGTGGGTTATTTAATGCCGACAAGATTTTTAGGATAGATTCGTATGAACAGAATATGTATTCTTTGGTTTAGATTGGTTTGGTTTATTTTGTTTTACGGCATATCAACCTCAATGGGTTATTTAATGCCGACAAGATTTTTATTGCTAGTAATATTTCAAAAATATATTGCTGATAATGATTTTTACAAAAATGTATTGCTGGTATTAAAACCTATTTTTACACTTTCATTGCTTTTTGCCCCCAGTTTGGGGTTAACTATTTCCCCATAGCTTGGACCCTGACAGGTGCTACCACCCCAAGTCAGAGTGGACTTGGGAACACCAGCAATTAAGAAGTGGTTCAACGCTCCTCGGATCTTTCTAATCAGAGGCCTTGCTGTCAGATGTAGTTTATTGTCTTACCCAGGACGCGGACGTAGTTTATCGTCTTACCCAGGATGCGGACGTAGGTTATCGTCTTATCCAGAACGCCCAAGTTTCGTTTCACGTTCACTTCTCTATGGTTTTTTTTTCTTATGCTGGTTGCCACGCAAGACTAGAACTAGACTAAAGTTTAACCCATAGCTGGCGAGGAATTAATGTCTTTCCCAAGGGAATTTTTATGAAAATGAACGCAACTTGAGTAGGCCAGGATTTGAGCTACAGTCGCCTATTCCACGTCAATGGCTTTTCTACTATCCGCGTATCGATAATATATGCTAAGAGATAACATTTTAAGAAATAGACGTATATAGTCAGTCTATTCAAACAAATCGATGTCTTTCAAAGAAAGGTTAAAATGTCATATTGCGATAAGCAGTTTAAGTTTCTAGGCAGGAATCTAAGACCTTAATAAATGTTTCCATCCCGCCTAAAGTTTTAACGGTCTTTTTTTATTTCGCAAGATCTGCAGGAATGAAAAACATACATTTTGCTATGCGTGTCATCAAACATAGATAAAATAAACACCGCAAAAATGTATGTTTGGTTGAAAACAAGAAAATTAGCACAGTAATGACGTCATTATCATTCTCTTTTCTCTCTCTTTTTTTAACAGTGGCCCACGTGACAGTAAAATATGGCGGGAACGCTGGGGAACCCGGAATTGTATAAGGGAAAAATTCATGCTGGAGTAGGTCGTTTGGTTATTTTCTTGTGTCTTCTCAGAGTGTTTTGGGTATTGGCGTTGCCCGAATAAACAAAACAAAACTAACCGAAAAAAAAGAAAAGAAAAGAAAAGAAAAGAAAGGAAATAAATTAAAATAAAAAAATAACTAAAAACAAGCAAAAAAAACAAACCCAAAAACCCCTGAAAACAACAAAAATGTTAATGTTTCTGCTTCATTTTATTGTTCTTTCTCAACCCATTTTGATGTTAAATGGCTGTAAAAGTGAAAAGAGCCCCAAACAATGATACGCACGAGAATGATTTGTTTGAAATTGATGCTATCTTCCCACATAAATATGTCGTTTGGGGATTGTGGCCATCGCTTCGCTTCTTTGAATAACTTATTGTATGGAGGGCTTATAGAACAGGAGTGAGAAGCTGAAGAAATCGTGTCATGATGAGTAGGAAGATGAAAGAAAGGGAGTAAAACATGAAGACGAATAAAAAAAATATATGATAGAAACAAAGAATAAATTCTAACAATAATGCAGAAGAAAAGAAAAAGGAGACAGTAGAATAAAGGCGAGTATAAAGACAAGAATGTTTTGCGGGAAAATAAAAAAAATAAACAGAAAGACGAGAAAAACTTATCAACTAAGTTAAAACTAAACGCGCTCGAATTAAATAAAAAGAAAGAGAAAAAGACAAAATAATAGAGCCTGAAAGAATTAAACATCAAAATGGAGTAATTGAATGAGAAAAAAACAAGAACAAATGGAAAACTTAAAGAAAAAAACACGTAAATATAAGAACGCGAAATATAGGAATTTAAATGAAATTTAGTAAAAAAAAAACTATTTTGATTAAATACTGAGATAACACGCAAGGCAAATAATCTGCATTGGTAATGTTAATATTAACCGTTTCCTTCCACAAGAGTGGAAGGAAAACGACCACACCACGTTAAATCACCGATTTCCATACATTCACCGAAGTTCAGCACCGTCGAACCTGTTCAGTACCTAGATGGGTAAACGCTTGGGGATATCTTGGATGTGCGGGCGGTGTAATGGGTAATGGCTCGGGATTGTTAATCGGAGAGCAGAATTCCAATTCCAGTTGGGTTCGATATAGTCACTTACGCGCACATCTTCTCCCTCCAGCTACGGGTTAATTAGTAAGACTTTTATCACTAAACCATTATTATCGCCAATAAAAATTCTTATAATCTAAAAACATTTTCTGACTTTAGATAACCTGCAAAGATTTGATTAGCCGTAGAAAACGAACCCATAAAATAACTTGAAAAGGAATATTCGGCATTTATTGACGGAGTAACCAGTGCGACTGTCGGCTGAAATTTATAAAATATTCCTTTAAAACAATTTTTTAAGGAGAAAAGTTTTTCCCAAACATTTATCGCTTTTCCAAGTATTTATGGGGCTTTCCTTCCTAACTGTTATTTTGAGGTAGTGTGGAATGTCAACATTTTGATTATGTCATTATATTCTTATCGAGTAAGGTGTGTTATGCGTTTTCGTAGTTGCTCTTGTTGAAAGTCTTCAAGTGATGTAGTTTCTGTTATTTGCTACAATTCTTTCTAATTCGATTTGTACCATTTCACGATGTTCTAATCTTTTTTACGCCAGTCCAATACCTCATAAACAGTAGACTATTCCAAACAGACACATCAGAAACGATACTTGGTTTCAGTGAGAAATTGAAGTAGAACTATACTTTTTTAAAAAAAGTTTTTCTTAATACTTCTTTATTACCCATATGTTCCGTCCAAGATATTCTCAGCATCCCTCTGTAGAACAATATTTCCCTTAACTCAAACCTATTCTTCATTTGCGAAGAAATTCTCCTGCTTTCACTGACACATCCAAGGATTGATATTATGCAGCTGATCAAAATTCTTTTCTTTGTTTCTAACGAAATTGTTCTCTTTCTTTTTACGGCCATATTACGTTGAAGCACCAGTTTTCGTACGACCACAAAAGTTAAACAACGTCGAGCCTGGGAGTACCTATATGGGTGACTGCTTGGGAATACAGGTGCTATAAACTTGGATGTGCGGGTTATGTAATGGATTGAAAATCGTAGAGCCGAATTGTAACTCCTGTCAAGTGCGTAATATTCACATAAAAGTAGGGAAAGTAGGAATCAACCGCTTATTCCCTGCAGCTATGGGTTAATTAGTAGAAGTTGTATCAGTAAACCATTATTATCCTTCACCCAAATTCGTAAAATATATAAAATATTACCTGTCTTTAAATAACCTGTAAAATGTTGATAAACGGTAAACGCAAAAACAAAATCTTAATATTTTATTGAAGTTTTTTGTGGTGGGGGGTCGTCTTTAGCATTTTCTTACTCTGGCACCCTGAGTGAAAATTATTATAAAAAACATGTTCAATGAACTTTCGTGTTTCTGTGTTCCATTTTCCATTATTGGTTATAAAATTATAAGATTATTTCTACTTCTCATTTAAAACAACTAGCGTTTCTTTTTTCAAATTTTTCTGAAAGCTTCTCTAAGCTTTCATTAATGGTTCATTCGTTTGAAGCCATTTTCATCATTTGTCCGAGAAAGTGGTTGTATACAGCTGACAGTATAAACATTTCTAAAGCAGTTGGGAGCCGTAAATGACAGCCTCATGAGAATATAGATCTTACAGGGTTATTTAAGAACATCACTCGCGTTGATAGGTTAATGTTTCGATTTTGCAGCAACTTCCGGTTTTAGACAAAACTAGCCCGATGCAACTTCTTCCTATGTTCAATTCATTTATCTTCTATTCGAAAGTTGTTATAAGTTATCCATACACCAACGTATTTGAAATGCTTAGTGTTTATTAATTCTCCATCCCGAAATTTTATAATGGATTCTATCCATCACTGATTTTATTTCAATTCCAGATTAGAGTTTCTGTTTTGGATAGGTTTATTTTGAGTTTTATTTATCGGGATACTTAGTAGAGGATGCTGATTTTCAGTTCACTAGCTAATGGAATAGTATTTCCCGACATCAATTCTAAAATATGACGAAAAAATACAAATGAAATATAAAGAAGATTATCGTCATTTTAACCGAGAAAATTCTCGTAAAAATCGGTTTGAAATATCGCACTACTTTTCTGAGAAGTCCAAACATTGTTTATTGGCAGACTGTATCATGAAGAAATATTCCCAAATACTAAAAAGAGTACTGATGTCCAAATGTTGAAAATGCGAAAGAAAAGGAGATTAGCGAGTCAGTTTTTCTTTTCTTCAAATAATGTCATGTCTCTTTAGGACGGAGACAATCATGGTCTTCTACAGACAACTTAGTAATTTATCTTTACTACGTGTCTTCTCGCGGTTTTGAAGTCAAAGTAGTCCTTCCCGTATACTGAGTACCACCCAACGCTAGAAAGTCCACTCTGTGCAGTTATTTAGGCCCTCACTTTTGAGGTCGGTGTAAAAGAGACAGATTCTTATCTTTTCTAAGGGTATCATAACAAATTCAGTATAGATAATAATGAAATGAAATACCCAGTAGGTTTCGTGGAGAGGTACTTTTATCGAAAACTGCAAGACGATACAAAGTCAAAATATTGACTCGGGAACTTGAATCATCTTTAATAACCTCGTCAGATCTTCTTTTATGTACGGCGTCCATTTAGAAAACAGGCGACCATAGCAAAGCCCATGATCGGGAAATTGAAGGTTTCGGTGATCCTGGTACCACCTCTTAACTCCTGTTGTTCTCAGGTCAACACTGATCCGGGGTAGTACTGCATATTAAGGTCCCAGCAATGGTCACACAGTGAACCACCAAACAAAAATCAACAGCACATTTTCATAGCAAAATGACAATTAATACAGCATTATATATATATATATATATATATATATATATATATATATATATATATATAAATAAATATATATTTTTTTATTATACTAAAAATGTATTTTTGTAGTGAAATTTCCAGCAATACATTAAAAAATACCAACAATATATTTTATGATCTACAAACTATATATCTTTACGCTGAACGTATGAAATTATGTTCAAAATATCTGTAGTTGAAAGCGTAAAAATTCTTAAAAAAATATTTAGATTTCGGCATTATATAGCCCATAGAGGTGTTGATATGCCACTAAAAAAATCAACCATACAACCAACATGAAAGAACACTTTCCTGACATTAATATGTATAATATTCTACAATTTCTTAAAACAAAAAATATTCCAAAATATAACTTCAACCTAAAAGCCGCATATTACTGCTTCTAGTAATTACGTTCACACAAACATGTATATACACAAAGGCTGAGTATTATCTGCCATGTATTCAAATGTAAAAGCAGAATGATACTACTTTAAAGCTTTAAGAAAATTAAATTTCGGCAATAAATGACCCATAAGGTGTTGATATGCCGTTAAACAAATAAAACAAAACAAACACTATTAACTAATAGGATATTTTATTGCTATATTGTGTTGTGGTGTAGCAAGACATCAAATATTGGTACACTGTGTCGAGCTAGATAATCTTTCTCGCCAGAATTCTATTTTATAAGTCGACCATTCGTTCATGCATTGAATATTGCTGTTACATCTGATGCTTCTACTGTGCATTCAGACATTTTGGATAAAATACAAAAAAGAATCTGCAATGTTATAGGTCCTGGCCTTGCATCTCGGCTTCAGTCACTTCCCCACTGCCGTAAGTAGCTTCCTTGTGATTTTCTATAAACATTTTCATGGTAATTTTTTGGTGAGCGTTCCTCTTTAGCACCTAAACTTGATGAATTTAAACATACTGCTATATTAGCGACAAGGTCCCGTCATGTTACATTTGAAATGGTTAGATGTAACCTTAAGTGCTATGCTACGAGTTACATTTTCGTATTTCTTGGACGTGGAACTCTCTTCCGGTAAATATTACCTTCGCCTTCTTAATTCTTATTCTTTCCTTGTTTTTTTTCTTTAAAAATGGTCCTACGGTTAGTTCATACTGAAACAGCGGTTCTTGTAGTAGCACCGAAGTTAAGCAACACCAAGCCTGATCAGTATCTAGATGGGCGACCGCTTGGAAATCCCTGGTGCTGTAAGGTTGGATGTGCGGTTGGTATAATGGATAACAGCGAGAAATTGGAAATCGAAGTGCCGAATTCCAATTTCATTTCGGTGAAAATACCTCTGGGAAAGTTATGGACACACCTTTTCTCATCCCAGTTATTGGTTAATAAATAAAAATTTGTATCTAAAAAAAAAAAAAATGTTAAAAAATTTAAGCTGTTGAAAACGGAAAAAAAACCCATTAATATTTTCTTTTTCTCACATTCTCTCAGTCTCATTGCGTTTTCGTGGCTCTATAATCTTGCCTTTGGTCAGGATCGATTCCCTTATAGAACCATTTGGATTTTTCTCAAGAATCTTAGGATATATATTAGTTGCACCAAACCAGATATGGCAGCAGTATTCAATGTCCGGACGAATGGTAGATTTATAAATGTGCAAGGTAAATTCTGACGAGAAAAATTGTCTGGCATGACACAGTGAACCAACTTTCTTACCACTGTTGTAGAAGATAAAAAAGGGACATAACTCTTTGGAAGGGACATAACTCTTTGTTTAAATTTAATCACTCGTTATTCTATTTTGTTTTTTGTCCTTTGCAAAAGCTAAGACGTCATTATCAATGGAAGCCATCCACGCCGCATACGAAAACCTCACATATGTTACGCTTTAAAATTTACTTAGTAAGTCATTTGAATAGACTCAACAAACATTGCATACGTATATCCATCAGACTTATTTATTCTTTGCGACCAGAAAACATTCCTGACTGTATTTTAGCAGTTAAAGAATACAACGGGCAAGTCAGTGATATATTTTAACATACGTGGGAAAAAATAAATATTATTTACAGTTTGAAATAAAGGTTTATCCACTTACGACTTTATTTTTGATGATTAAGAATAAATATTATGAAATTCTCGTTTGCGGACTAAAGCCATATAAAAGCCAATACATAAAAATAAAAACGTAAAAAAATTATTTCAATGCCTTTAAACTGAAGATTTTGTGTCTCCATACATTCGTCAAAATACATTTTTTCACACATTTCTTTTGAGAGAAACGATAAGGCCGTGTGTCGTACATAATCCACTAGAAATCACTACCCCATAAAATGAGTCTAATCATCATCATCATCATAACCGTTTTCTGAGGTTCATTAACATTAAGAACATCTATTGTGTAATCTATCTTCAGGATGTAGGCGATCACGGCTCTCTACAACTTCCTGTCCGTTATAGCCCTAAGCAGCATTTGTCTCATTAACATACATGTTTATTCCCGTTAAGCAATGATTCACTCAAACCTATTTGGATGGTTACCCGCTGATTCCCTCTGCTAGGCCTGTATTCAATATATCCCGTGACAGTTAACTTCCCCAAGCCTAAATAATTCTCTAATATGTTCAAAAAGTTTCAGTTATCCTCTCCTTATTTTAAGTCTTCACTTTCCAACCTTGATAGAGTTCAAAAGCCTCCATATTGCTTTGTAGGCGATTAATTATTTTCATTTCTACAGCGACTTTCCCACAGATAAAACGTTACAAGTGTCTCGCTACTCTATCGCTATTTCCATGGCAAATGTTCATACATTTCTTGGTCCCACCACCACTGACTTTTACAGCTAAGACCCACCATGCCATATACACGGTGAAGGGGTGTGTGTGATCTATCCTTATTCTTTTTGTATTCCATTAGTAAGAAGATACCTTCATTTGGACAGCCTCTTCCCAAGAACCGCTACTTTGTGTAACAGACTCCCTAAAGGAGCCTTCTTCGATCGCAACAATCTTAACCTTCTTCAAGTCTAGGGTCAACCTTTCTACATATCCTCATAATCTGCACTTTCGTTCATACAATAACCTAATTCAGTAATCACTCTACCTTGAGTGGCTCTTGAATCTTTTATTGAGTGTAAAATTACTAAAAAAAGTATAAGAATCACATGTCTGTCGTTCCGAATCTTTGCTTCATGTGAAGGAAATTATCC